GGTCGAAAATCTGATTTTCATTTATAAAAGCAGTCACTTGTGTTGCCAGTTTAGAGCTTAAGGGAAGGGTTCTGAAGAAGGGGGGATGGACAGTAGCATGTTCAGAGTAATAGGGAAAATACACTGGTGACTAAAATATCTGTTACGATAACGTCTTTAAAAAACAATGCAGGGTCACTATCAGCTGTGCAGGTGGAAGAATCATGCAGTCACTGAATGTGCAGTCAGGAGGCTGGGGGATGTTCTGGTACATCACATCTGTAAAGACAATCCTCGTTCTTCACGAAACTCCTTCTTATTCAAGCGCCTCAGCAGTGAACACAGCAGGTGGTCTCCATCAGTAATCAGGTTTCTGCTGTGACCTCACTGATTGGGCTGGATGTTTGAATTTCTCAATGACACACATTTTTGTCAGAAGACTGTTGGAATCCCTTTAGCAGCTGCGAAACCTTGTGTGGTGTGATTATTAAGAAAAAAACAGCGGTTAAATATAGAATTGCATCTGTTTGTTTCCTTTTTCAACACAGCATTTGTTATCGAGACGGCAGGTTCAGCAGTCTGTCCCTCTGTTCCATTCAACATTAAGGAGGACCCATTATGCTTGTAAAACTGAAATGGCATCTGGCTAGGATACCTCCAGGACACCTCCTTCTTTGAGGATTTTTTTGAGGAGACCTTGGGGTTGACACTGAACTGTCTGGAGGAGTTACACATCTCATCTGGTGTGAAACCACTGTGGGATCCACCAGCTGGTTAGCTTCCACTCAGGAAGTCTGGCATTAACACTTACCTCCACACTTCCTGAAATCAGGTTGAATGATCTTTGAGGCATGATGACACCCTTTCCAGAGTGAGCAAAGGATCATTAGGGCTGGAGGATTTGTTATAAAGCAGACAGAATGTGCATATGGATAGTTTACAAACGATGGATGCAGCATGACATAAAATGATGGTAAAACGTGAACCCTCTCAAACCCAAGCAGTTCCTCCAAGGCTGAATGCATCTACCAGAAACCTTCTGACCACTTGCTCCTCTGTATGCAGTGTTTGAGCCATATTGCATTTGTTCTATTGATCTAATACGTCTCAGTCTGTCTTTTCATCTCGTCTCTGCTCTTGTTCTGCAGCTTACCTGAAAAGTCTGAACTGAACTGTCCGGTGACTGTTGTAATCAAGAGCGCAATTTTTTTTTTATTTTTTATTTTTTTAAATGATATTTTTAACCCTCTGAGGTTCAGAGGGTTAAATATTAACGATAGAAGTTATGCTCCACTGTTACACACTACATAATACAAAACCCATAAAGCAAAATACATAGCTGAGTTTGATTTTGGGAGCATTCATTCATGATAATAAGAC